CCAAACTGTAATGCTAAGTTGTATGCATTTTGATGGAGGTAATTTTTACCTTAAACACTGTAAAATAATAAGAAATCAACTAGGGGTGAGGAGAGTGGGTGGAGGTACAAACTAAATAAGAATGGCAGAATATTGATAACTAACGAAGCTCGGTGATGTGTGAATAAAAATGCATTAGTTCCATTCTTATTTCTTTATATATGTTTGAAAATTTCTAGAATTAGAAATTTAAAGTTACCCCATAGTAATTACTTATTATAACTAAAAGAGTCCTTTCTTCTTTGTAACCAAAGAAAAGCTACAAGATAGACAAAAACAACGACAACCACAAAAACAACATGGTATGACTTCTCACATTAACACGATTGCTATTGGACAGTGGTAATGGAACCAAATCACAAAGCTGTTCCCACCTCCCATGTATGGCTGATGTAACAGACCTGAGGATTACACAGCAACAGTCAAAGCCAACCATCAGGTTCCACAGTAATTTTCATGCTTGAATTCTGGCAATGATTTTGTTATTATTTGGTATCAGTGATGAGTTGGTATTAATAATGGAACCTGAGAGTTCAATGATTTTTAAACACCTAGGGTTGCAAAAATGTCATTTGCTGTTTTGAGGACTAAGGGAAGAGGCTCTGGTCATGTTCCGTCAACAGCAACTATGACCACAACCAGCGCCACAGCAAAAATGAATGGTATTTTATTTTCAATAAACTGGTAGAAAAAAATGTTATCTGATAATTTTATCATAAGAATTAAGAGTACCTTTTGTTTCTCAAAGTAATATGTCAGCCAGGTGAGGTGGCTCACACCTGTAATCCCAGCACTTTGGGAAGCTAAGGTGAGCAGATTGCATGAGCCCAGGAGTTTGAGTCCCACATGGGCAACGTGGTGAGACCCTGTCTCTATAAAAATAAACAAAATCAGCTGGGTGTGTTGGTGCCTGCCTGTTGTCTCGGCTACTTGGGAGGCTAAGGTGAGAGAATGGCTTGAACCCAGCCCGGGAGGTCCAGTTTGCAGTGAGCACACCACTGCCCTTCAGCCTCGGCGACAGAGTGACACCTTGTGTCAAAACAAACAAACAAAAAACAAAACACGCACACACAAAAACAGAACATATCTTTGCCGTGTTAAGTCTCCCCTGAAATGCCTGACTTTACATATTTTTTTCTTAATAACACGTTTTCCTATTTAAAGTCCATTATATGTTTTCATATTTATAAGTCCATTTACTTCTAAGGCAGATGTGCCTATTTCTCTAATTAATGCCATGCTACATCAGGACTCTTAATCATTTGAATTCAAAATGTGCCCACAAGTGAATGACGTGTAAAACCTTAGACCAGCAGTTCACAACCTTTACTGCCATTAGACTCACCTAGGGAGGTTGGAAATCCCAGTGCCCATACTGCACACCATGAAAGAAGAACCAGTTAAATAAGAAGCTTAGGGGAGTGGGACCAGCATTGCAGCTTTCAAGCTCAATACGCACCCACACTGGAGAACCAGAGGCCCTGGGCTTCTGCTGTGCTTGGCGTTCCGCTTTCCCCCTTACTAATGAGGAAGAATGTTTTGTTTTTTGTTCAGTTTGTCATGACAACAGTATTACCTACATTATAGATCCCAAGATGTCTATTACTTGGGACTGAGATGAGAGAACAGAGAGAGAAAGAGGAGAGTTACAGTTTAATTGATTCTACCAGGCACTGTCATCGGGATAGCATCCCGAATTAGGCAGAAAAACTAACTTAAAGGAAGGATCATATTTTTGTATTCATTTGATTGATTTATTTGGATCATATTTCCATGATTCCTTTTTATTAAAAAAAACCACTGCTGGTGCTATAATGACATTGAAATGGATGACAGAAAATTGAACAAGGAAATGAAATCCGTCTTAAGCCTCTACTGTTCTTTATCATTCTTTGTGGCACTGAGGGCAATTCACTCTTGAACAATTGGGAGAATTAGGTAATCTTTAACACAAATAAAATGGATTCCTGACTAACTGCTAAAGAGTTCTTACAATACACTTAAAGAAAATCTGTTCATTAATACACATATTGTAAGTGGATATATAAATTGTTGTGATTCATGATCATTGGCAGTTCATTACCTCAAACTGGTATATTGGACTGTAACTTGTGATGTAAATTACAACTGTCATTAATGCTGTTATGATTATCTTCTAAAGAGTCATTAATATTATAAAATATGTCATGTGACACCCTTACTATACTACCAGTGTGTTGGGGTGGGGAGAATAAATACAGTGTTAATGCCATTGCATACCTCCATTATTTTGTATGCAGGCACTCGCTGGAAATAAATTTCTGTATTACTTTTTTTATTTTGCATTTATGCTTTTCTACACTTTAGTGCTTAAATGTCCATAGCAATCAGAGCCAAAAATTTTAAAAAGAAATTAAGAAATATTAGTAACCATATAAAAATTGCCAACAGTTTTCTATAAATTACAAATAGACTATGTTTCTAAAAATTTATAGATAAAGAGTGTAAAGCAATAATTTGGAACAAAGGAAATACAAGTGCTCAAACAGTGGCTGAAAATATATTCAACCTCAACTGCAACGAAATCAAACCAATGTCTTTCCTGAAAATCCATCCTGAATATGAAAGCTATTTATTAACCACAGATGGAACACAACATGACTTACATTAGCAAAAAGATGGCTTGCTAGAGCACAGATAACCTATAGGTTGTTTTTCTCAAGCCAATGCCTGCAAATGGGCAGCCAGACATTCCTTTTTTTCATGCCTTAGCATGCTCTTCAGACTTCAACTCTGTCTTATCTGCCCATTATTTTAATTCCTGAAAAACATTTGAGGTGTTGAGCTTATTTGATTTCTAATTCAATGGAAGGCATTTAGGCTGTAGATCAAATAATTCTTGTCTGCTTGTGGATTTATCTTCTATAATGGTGCCATTCCCAAGAAATATACCTGTCTATTTATCTAACTCTATTCTTAACGAATCAGGCAGCTCATTAATGGTGAGTACATCATCTTATTCATTTTTCTGTCTGTTTGAAACCTTGTAGACCATCAAAAATGTTGATGAATGAATAAACAATACAACAATGAGCAAAAAACACTTGTCTTTGGTGACATGCTTTCTCTGTACACAGAAGAAGTTAAAAACAAAAGAGTTGGACAAAGTGGTTTTCAGTATGATGTCATTCAACGCTTGTGATTTCTCTCTCACATTCACAGGCATACAGAGTTCTTGACCACTTGAATTATGACCAGAACTATTCCTGCTTCTAAATGCCAAAGACTGTGATCACTATCATTTTATTTTTCTTAAAATTCTGAGAAAAGTCCTGAGTCAAATAAGACTCATACACAGGCAAGAAAAGGCAGAGTTTATTATCTGATTCAGGAAAGTGTGAAAGTGTGAGCTGACATTTAATGAACTGGCATTATCCTCACAAGAGGTCTACACAGAGGTTCATCGGAAGAGCAGGTGCGAGGAAGGTCGAGCTGAAGACCTTCAAATACGAGGCAGTTTGCCTTAAACTTAATGTGGAAACTGGTGGTTAGCAGACAGAATCAGCTTCATTTTTGTGTGATTATTCTCATTTCTGAGTCTCAGTTAACATTTTGCTCACCAGAGCACTGACTATAATATATAGTTGGAACATACAGCAAATTCTTTAAAAACACATTGCTTATTTAATGAATTTGGTTAGTATGTAGCTTAAATTTCAGCCTCATGTTGACGGTAGTACAGAGTGTTTTCTTTTAAAATTATATTTGTCCTCAGAGTTTTATGGTAGTGAAGATTCCTCTTAAACAGTTCTTTTTTTATTTTTCTTTTTGAGACAAAGTCTCACTCTGCCAGGCTGGAGTGCAATGGTGCAATCTTGGCTCACTGCAACTCCGCCTCCTGGGTTCGAGCGATTCTCCTGCCTCAGCCTGCAAGTAGCTGGGACTAAAGGCGCACGCCACCACACCCAGCTAATTAAGCAGCTCTTTATAGCTATTTTATTTCTTCATTTTAAAAGCACAATACTCTGATGTATTGGCTCAAACATCCCAGATTGGTACCACATATTCCACACGGTATGCAAATGTTGGGTTAGGTTGTGTGTGTGTGTGTGTGTGTGTGTGTGTGTGTGTGTGTGTGTGTTTTGCCTTTAATGTCTTGATATTTGAAGTATCAAGATGTAACTTCTGGGCTGGGTGTGATGGCTCACGCCTGTAACCTCAGCACTTTGGGAGGCCAAGGCACTTGAGGTCAGGAGTTTGAGACCAGCCTGGCCAACATGATGAAATTCTGTCTCTACTAAAAATACAAAAATTACCTGGGCATGGTGACAGGCACTGGTCATCCCAGCTACTTGGGAGGCTGAGGCATGAGAATCACTTGAACCCGGGAGGCGGGGGTTGCAGTGAGCCAAGACCACGCCACTGCACTCCAGCCTGGGAGACAGAGAGAGACTTCATCCAAAAAAATAAAAAATAAAAAGAAGTAATTTCTCCTAAAACATTGAAAAAAGAAGTAAAAGTTATTTTCTTTTCTTTTCACCAGTAATGTTCTTATATCAAAGTATTACCAAAGTATTACCATGAATTTCATTACATCAAAAATAAAGTAGAACAGCAGTTCTCTTGACATGAAAATAATGCTGAAATAACTAGAAGAGGAACAACAACAAAATCCTGGGTTTCTTTGTACATGATATGATATGGACATATATCAACCACTTTATCATAAAACACAATAAAGTCATCTGTGATTATTATGTTTTAGACAGAGACTCGCTCTGTCACCCAGGCCAGAGTGCAGTGCTGCAATGTTGTCTCACTGCAACCTCTGCCTCCCAGGTTCAAGCGATTCTCCTGTCTCAGCCTCCCAAGTAGCTGGTTCACAGATGCTCACCACCACACCTGGCTATTTTATTTTTTATTTTTTTTAGAAGAGATGAGGTTTCACCATGTTGCTCAGGCTGGTCTCAAACTCCTGACATTGGATGATCCACCTGCCTTGGCCTCCAAAGTGCTGGGATTACAGGCGTGAGCCACCATGGCCAGCCATCTGTGACTATTTAAGACCTTATATGAAAGGACTAGTGGGAAATTAGAAAATATGGCTAGAGGAAAAAAAAGGTATCAACCTGATAAAAAAGAAACTCAGAGCTGGCCAAATATCCTGAATGACGTCATAACACATTTTTTTTTTCCAAGAAATGAGACAGTTCCTCAGCTGTTCCCATCTCCACTATCAGTACTGTTTGTATTATTTTTTGGTTGAAGGTACTTCATCTACAGTCTACATGAAAAAAAGGAGCAGTAAAGGATGTTTTGTACAGAAAGATAATTCCTGTTACAGCAGGCTCCTTTTAAAGATAAACATGTTTGCTCTCAAGTTTAAACACCATTAAAACTGCATGTCAGTTCTAGACCTATCTAAAAGTAAAAGGATTGATATTGCTTCTTTAATTTGAAAACTGTCAGGTCTTAAAACATACAGTATCTCAGAACTTATAAACTTTCTAATTAACATAGTATTCATTTTGTATAAGAGGTTTACTGGCTTAGATGTAAAGACTGTAGTCCATTAGACAAAAGGGTTTTGTTAACACTAAACTGTATTTAATCATTTATTTAATTATACTGTAATATCTGAGCTAAATCATCACAATAGAGTTTCCCAAAAAATGCTCAATAAAAGCCTAAAAATTATTGAATTGAACAGCAGACATTTGGTTTAAGACTGCAAAATTAGGCATTTCCCAAACTGTTTTCTGCACTTAGAAATCATAGCAATATTGTCAAGGAAAATCAGAGTAGAAACCTACATCTTTTAAGAAATTCAGAGATATCTAAAACCTGGAATCACAACACATGAAGAAATAAAACAAGATGGAGAAGGGGTAACTGACCTAGCAGAGTAAGAAAGCTGAACTCAAGTAAGCGGCCACTCTGGTGAATTTGCACAGAGAATTCTGGAAAGATGTGAAAATTATCATCTACCAATATAAAATTATCCAATCAGCTATTTTAGTGCCTTATTCCTAACTACATAATAAGAAGTATCACAAGGTATTTGAGGAAACCTCCCTACATAACGAGACTGAAAGCAAAGCAAACCAACAAGGGAAATCTTGGAGAAATTGTCAACATGACACAAACACTAAGTACGGTGAATAAAGTAGAGAAGAAGATTTCTTGGAAATTTAAAATGTAATTGCTGGAATTTTTTTAAAAATAGAATACTTGAGACAAAATGGAGAAATCTCTAGAAATCAACAAAGAAAAAAAGAAGTGAAAGAAATGGCCAAGAACAAGATCAAGAATAGGAAACAACTCATGAAACTCCCAAACACATAGAACAGAGGGAATAAGGAACAGCAATTTTTTTAAAACAGAAATGTATTTTCCAGGTATTAAGGCATGAGTTTTCAGATTGAAAAGACTGTAATCATAATGTGATAGGAAAATAAATTTTTGGACCTCAAATTCACTACACCAAAGGGAAATGTCAAGCAGGGAACTATGTCAGGCAAACCTGCCTCCCATTTTACTCATAAATAAGATTGCTATAAAGATTAAAAACCAACCAACAAACAACAGCAATGAAAAATAACCACATACCTCCCTCACAATTTGCTCACAAGAAAATTCCTTGTGGATCTCAAGATCTTTACCCTAAAACAGTTCTGTTGGATTTCACCCTAGCAATGTAAATTGGTAGCTTATCTTCACAGGTGTGGGAGAAAGGACAGAATCCAAAGTCATCCCTCTGCTCACCTGAGACAAATGTATATCTCATTGCTTTCTCTACCCTAATGTTTATGTAAACATATAGACTCACTGAGCCAGATTAAGGCATAAGTGACTCTTTCTCTACCCTCCTCTCACATGTACATCTAGTGAAAGACTGAACAAAGACTCAAAGGAATGCATGCAACCTTTTGTCTCTTAGCTACCTATGACCTGGAGGCCTGCACTTCAAGTGTTCTGCCTTTCCAGGCCAAACCAATGTACATCTTACACATACTGATTGATGTTTCCTATCTTCCTAAAATGTATAAAACCAAGCTGTGCTCCCAAAACCTCGAGCACATATTGTCAGGACCTCCTAAGGCTGTGTCAGGGTCGTGTCCTTAACCTTGGCAAGATAAACTTTCTAAATTGATGGAGACTTGTCTCAGATACGTGTGGTTCTTAATAACTACAAGTTAAAATAACTTTAAAGCAAATTAGAACAAGGAAAGAAAAAAGTACAACAGCAAGTCATTGAGTGTTTGTGATTTACCATTGGACCATCTTCTAAATGTCTCTCAAATCCACTCCATTTCTCTCCAGCCCCACAATCACTATCCCTGCAAAGGCCATTGGCATCCCATCCTAGAACTCTAGGATCACTTTCTAATTAGGCCTTGCCACCATCCCCCCACCCCCCGGCCTCCCCAACTTTCCACCTAATGGTCTGAATAATCTCCTGCAAATGCAAATTTTTCCTTGTTTCCTTGCCTCAGGATCATGTACTAATTTCTTAATGAGACTCTGGGAGTTCCCCTACCTAGCCCCTCTTAGTTTTATATTGGACCATTGTCTATACTCCCTGTCTCTTCTCCCTAGTTCCACCCTCATCTTGATTCTGCAGAAAGATTGATTTTCCTTTAGATCCTACATTGAGCACTTTTACCCCATCTGACTCTGACCCCCTCATACATGACCCTCCCTTAAATAGAATGTATCTTGACTCTTTCTCTGCAAGAGTCCTATTCCAATTATCTCAGCATTGACATAATTTTCTCTTGAAAACTACCTCCTTCCCTCGTCTTGGTTAGGTAGACACTTTGTTTGTCACTGAGCTCATCCCACAGGGTTTCATTGTCTTATACCTGTTTATGTTCCCCATTAGACTCTGCCCCAGAAGGAACCCTGCTTATTAACTGCTAGCATCTTCAGTGCATAGTACAATGCAAAACACTTAGTGGGCACTTGAGACTATTAGTTGAATTGAGAAATGAACCAATGAATGAAAGCTCACATAATTCAAATAGTGGAATCAAAGCCATAAAATTGTCATCTGGTGGTGGTGGAATAAGGTAACGAAGCTGAAAGCATTTTCACCATGCTCCTTCATTTTTCTATGAAATATCAACCCAAACACTCCTAAGGAGGTTACCCGGTGGACTCCTACAATATGCTCCAACAGTTAATTACTCTGTAAGAATTCTCAGCTCTCACTTTAAATTACATTCAACTTGAACAAAATTTAAAATATGACAAACATGACCTTTTCCCTCAAATTGGCTCCTTTCTCAATGCTCTTACTTTGTATCAAAATAAAAATAGTGAAAGAATGAAAGAATTCTACTATTTTTCATTTACATATAGTAATACATTCTTCATGTTTTCTTATAAATATAACCATATAAATATGTACCCGGCTTCACTCATTCCTCTGAGTCAGACTCTCTGAACTAATTATTACCTTCTAATACTCATCCCAATAATATTTTCTTGTTGCATGTGTAGCTTTCTCTTCCTGACTTGGAAAGTCTTCCATAATCTACCTTCACAGTCTTCTCTTGTATACTTACTTTGTCATAAAACGTAAAATACATAAAAACTACAGTCCATGTTATATTGTCACTGAGCAAATGCAATTTCCAAGGTACTTTGTTGGGTTTTACTTTTTTTTTAGATTTTCTTTTGAATAAGTGTTTTCTATTTGAAAAACTGAAATGTAATCCTCTCAGGTCTTCCAACCTTACCAAGAGTGAGGCTTGAACGTTTTGCAGTTCTTTTCTATGCTCAGCTTCCATCTCTATTTACTTAGCAGGTTTTTAAAAAGTGGTTAGCATCTCTCTTTGCTTGAAATTATTTTTGTTTTTGGCTTCTTTTTTCCAAAGTGGTAAAAATGAGCATATCTCTTTCCAATGAAAATGGTAAATGAATTGAAGCCATAAATATCTTAAAATAAGTCTTAGGACTTAAAGCTGTAGTTTTCTGTTTTTAAGAATCCACTTCTTCTGCTTACTGCTGACTTATTTGCAGCTGGCTGCCTAATTTTACATACATTAGGTGTCGAATAACACCTAAATCTTCCATTGTCATCATTGTGATCATCATTGCAATGACCACAATAAGCAATACATGGAAGTACTGAAAAGCAAACACTCTAGAAGATTTTTAGAAATGCAAATAAAAGATCTTTTCAGGAAATGAGAAAAATTATTGATTGCTATTTAGATCTACAACTTAATTAACATTATTGTAGAAACATTAGTAACCAAGACTATAATTCTGATTCTGCAAGAACTCACATAATACTTAGTTTTATACTTAATCTTTTATCATTTGTGACAAAATTTAGTAAAATGAAAGATTATCTAGAAGTAGACTGTGATTGCTTAAAGACACAGTAATAATCAAGATTATAATATAAGTATTTTCAAGAGTTAGACAACTCATGCATAAAATCATTTATTGAGACATACATACTTGTCTAAGAAGACATTTTAATACATGTTCAATAAACTGTCATTAAAGTGTATCTGTACTGGGGTGCCAATCACTGATTTTTAACAAAACCATTCTATGATCCCAGTGAGAGAGGTATCGATTTTTACGTATTTTGTCAATAACATTATAACAATTTTACATATAGGAGGTTTAAACAAATTAGAGGTTTAAAAACATGTAGAATTCCTGGGAATCACGTTTAGAAGCAAGTTTTAAAACCAATCTGTCTCCAGATTCTGATACTAAAACACAATGTTCAATCTTAGTTTGGAGGAATTAAGAAACATGGCAGAACAGATTACATTTCTAGTTTGATTTAGATCATTAATTCTTAACTTACATTAAGAGAATATACGAGACTATTATAAGAAATAGTAGCATATAACATATGCATATTTATAACACATAAAAACTTATTGAAAATTAATTAAACTATAATATCCATACGATAAAGACAGGATAAGTGGGAATTATCTAGGAAAACTGAGATGAAACAATTAGATAAAACTGAGATTAAAAAATACAGGGGCAACCTAAAGCTTCATTAATAAAGAATATTTAAGTAAAATTCATAAAACGACAATAAGGATTCAATCAACATGGACCACCTATGGCATAAAGCAAGCACAATGCACACAGTATAATTGCTGCCATTTTTATGTCCATTTTTAAGGAAGTGAATTTATTTTTCCAAGATTCATTCTTACATACATGTTTCTACACAGACTTAACAACTGTCCAGAAAATTTTAGTTAAGCAGCAGAGTTCAGGGAGTTCAGTTTGCTAAGTCACAGTCCTAACATCAGGTGTTCAAAGATGGAGACGGAATTTCTCAGCACTGTTCAATTGAAAGATGTGAGGGAGAATGTGCAAAGAGATAGGGCTGGGCCAACTGGTCCTCTGGCCATCATAAACAATCCGATCAAAAACATTAGGGTTGCGTTGGGGGGAATTTTGTGATAAAATGAGGGGTCATTCAGCCAGACTGGTCATTCAGCCAGAGAACGAATTCAGGGAAAGAGCAGAAGTGGGAAGGTTAATAAAATGACAATTGCAATATTTCATGGAGACATGACAAGAACCTGAATTCAAGCACTGATAGCGAGGAACACCAATGGAGAAACAGGATGGAACAGATAAAGATGCATGTAAGGAGTATACTTGTTAAAACTGGTGATTAATTAAATATGAGAAGAAACTGCTTATGCTATTTGCTGCCTTGTTCTTAGAGGTTTATAAACACAAAAAGAAAAACATATAAACATTTAAAAACAATTATTAATTAATTAAATATGCATAACAGCTATATTAGGTAGGTTCTAATATTGTCATCTTCATTATACAGATGAGTAAATAGGAGTATTGTAAGATTTAAGTTACTTGTCCAAGGTCATGCAGTCAGTAAATGGTGGGCTCAGAATTACAAACCAGGGCAGTTGAGCATCACTGTGTGTACATTTAGCTGCTACATTCTACCTCCCCTTAGGCTCCCCTGATCACTTTGAGAGTTTCTAAGATGATGCTTGGATTCCAACTTAGGTGAATGGGCGAAAAGGGCCAGCACTAATCTAATGAGGAGAAGCAGGAGTGAATGGAATGACCACAAGGTCAATTTAAAGGGCTGAAATGTGAAGTACTTGTGACACACCAAAGTTGAGGCATTTTGTAGGAGCTTCAAGAACAGAACAAGGGCACCAGATATAAACGTCAAGCCTCTT